ATATGCAAAATTGCTTGTACAATTTCAGAGGTTCTCCCCCGTCCCCCGCCCAGGACCCCTTTGAAAATTAGGCTAATAGTTTTTTACTCCATATAATTTCATAGTTTATTTAAAAATGAAACTTCCATGGAAGGCTTCTAAAACATAGAAATTCCTCTTTGAGCCCTCATGGCAGGGCATCCCTATCTCTCAGGTAGTTACCCAGGTTGTTAAAACATGTTATTTCCATTAAGCAGACACCTGAAGGTCATTCCACTCTCCCAAGTCAGGATGAAATTAGGCAGTTTTTTTAAAAAGACCTATGTAATTTACTAATTTGGCTCCTTTGGTGCCACCTAATTTCTGTGGTAATTATTTAATTAGAAAGGTTTAAAAATTATATTATATATATATATACATATATACACACACACACACACACACTATAAACACTGCTGGTTCCTAAGAAATAATTACCATCTAGAACATAAATGTGTATTTAATGAGACATCAATTTGGAATCTAAAAAATAAAAAGTTAAAAAAATAACTGGAAAGTATTTCAGGTCTTACATCTGCCTCAGTCCTCCCTGTCATTTTTTTATGTTTACAATCTCAACAACAACAACAACAACAAAATTTTTTTTTTTTAAGTTTCACTCTCCCTTGTTGCTATATGAAAGAGCCATGTAAACTGGGAGAACTGATTGACCAAAGAAGGGAAGGACTGAAAGAGATACAAAAAGTAGATAAACTGGGAAAAAAAGAGAAAAATAATAATTTTATTCTCTAGTCCAGGGGTGAGTAACCTATGGCACGTATGCCGAAGGCGGCACACGAGCTGATTTTCGGCGGCACTCACACTGCCCGGGTCCTGGCCACCGCTCTGGGGGGGTTCTGCATTTTAAATTAAGCTTCTTAAGCATTTTAAAAACTTTATTTACTTTACATACAACACTAGTTTAGTTATATATTATAGAAAGTGACCTTCTAAAAACGTTAAAATGTATGACTGGCACGCGAAACCTTAAATCAGAGTGAATAAATGGAAGACTCGGCACACCACTTCTGAAAGGTTGCTGACCCCTGCTCTAGTCTCTTTCTAGAGATTTTAGGAGTTACTTGTAACAATAGTAAGTAACACATTTTCAGAAAGAAATGTGATCTTTGTTGACAGTGATATTTTGGAGAAATTATGTATTATGAAGCTAATACAATACAAAAGGACAGTAAAAGTATAAGCGATAAAATGTTTTCTAATGTAACAGAGCTGCTGCTAGGATTGTGTAACTGTGGAATTTAGTAAATATGCCACTATTTAAATACACTGTCCTTTTTCATCACCATCCAGCTAATGAGTTCAAATGCATTATAAAAACATTAATTAAGCCTCACAATACCCTTGTGAAAGAAGAAGAGTATTATTCACAATATACAGATGCGGAAACTGAGACACCAAGAACATAAGTGACTTGTAATAGGCTACACACCTGGGACTAGAACACAGGAGTCAATCTCCTGGTCTAATCATTAAACATCATCTCTTCCATCAAAAGCATTTACTACATATATAAGCAATTCTCAGTTTTTAAACAGGCACTAACATTAATAAGAATATAAGCACAGCCATACTGAGTCAGACCAAAGCTCCACCTAGCCCCGCACCCTGTCTTCCGACAGTGGCCAATGCCAGGTCCCCAGACACCATCTCTGCCCATCCTGGCTAATAACCATTGATGGACCTATCCTCCATGAACTTATCTAGTTCTTTTTTGAACCCGGTTATAATCTTGGCCTTCACAACATCCTCTGGCAAAGAGTTCCACAAGTTGACTGTGCGTTGTGTGAAAGAATACTTCCTTTTGTTTGTTTTAAACCTACTGCCTATTAATTTCATTTGGTGACCCCTAGTTCTTGTGTTATAAGAAAGAATAAATAACTTCCTTATTTACTTTCTCCACACCAGTCATGATTTTATAGATCTCTATCATATCACCCCTTAGTCGTCTTTTTTCCAAGCTGAGAAGTCCCAGTCTTATTAATCTCTCCTCATATTGCAGCCGTTCCATGCCCCTAATCATTTTTGTTGCCCTTTTCTGAACCTTTTCCAATTCCAATATATCTTTTTTGAGATCAGACGACCACATTGCACGCAGTATTCACGATGTAGGAGTACCACATCTATGGATTTATACAGAGGCAATATGGTACTACCTGTCTTATTATCTATCCCTTTCTTAATGATTCCCAACATTCTGTTTGCTTTGACTGCCGCTGCACATTGAGTGGAGATTTTCAGAGAACTGTCCACAATGACTCCAAGAGCTCTTTCTTGAGTGGTAACAGCTAATTTAGACTCCATCATTTTATATGTATAGTTGGGATTATATTTTCAGTGTGCATTACTTTGCATTTATCAACATTAAATTTCATCTGCCATTTTGTTTCCCAGTCCCCTAGTTTTCTGAGATCCTTTTGTAGCTCTTCACAGTCTGCCTGGGACTTAACCATCTTGAGTAGTTTTGTAACAGCTGCAAATTTTGCCACTTCACTGTTTACCCCTTTTTCCAGATCATTTATGAATATGTTAAATAGGACTGGGCCCAGTACAGATCCCTGAGGGACACCACTATTTACTTCTCTCCATTCTGAAAACTGACCATTTATTCCAACTCTTTGTTTCCTATCTTTAACAGTTATCAATCCATGAGAGAACCTTCCCTCTTATCTCATGACAACTTATTTTGCTTAAGAGCCTTTGGTAAGGGACCTTGTCAAAGGCTTTCTGAAAATCTAAATACACTATATCCACTGGATCCCCCTTGTCCACATGCTTATTGATCCCCACAAAGAATTCTAATCAATCCGTGAGGGATGATTTCCCTTTACAAAAAAACATGTTGACTTTTCCCCCAACAAATTATGTTAATCTAAGTGTCTGACAATTTTGTTCTTTACTACAGTTTCAACCCGTTTGCCTAGTACTGAAGTCAGGCTTACCGGCCTGTAATTGCCAGGATCAGCTCTGGAGCCCTTTTTAAAAATTGGCGTCACATTAGCTATCCTCCAGTCATTTGGTACAGAAGCTGATTTAAATGATAGGTTACAAACTACAGTTAGAAGTTCTGCAATTTCACATTTGAGTTCCTTTAGAACCCTTGGGTGAATACCATCTGGTCCTGGTGATTTATTACTGGTTAGTCTATCAATTTGTTCCAAAACTGTCTCTAATGACACCTCGATCTGGGACAGTTCCTCAGATTTGTCACCTAAAAAGAATGGCTCAGGTTTGGAAATCTTCCTCACATCCTCAGCCGTGAAGACAGATGCAAAGAATTCATTTAGTTTCTCCGCAATGGCCCTATCGTCCTTGAGTGCTCCTTTAGCATCTTGATCGTCCAGTTGTTTAGCAGGCTTCCTGCTTCTGATTTACTTAAAAACATTTGCTATTACTTTTTGAGTCATTGGCTAATTGTTCTTCAAATTCTTTTTTGGTCTTCCTAATTATATTTTTATACTTCATTTGCCAGAATTTATGCTCCTTTCTATTTTCCTCACTAGGATTTAACTTCCACTTTTTAAGGGATACCTTTTTGTCTCTCACTGCTTCTTTTACTTTGTTGTTTAGCCACGGTGGCACTTTTTTTTGTTTTCTTATGTTTTTTTTATTTGGGGTATACATTTAAGTTGAGGATCTATCTAAAGTTTCCATGCAGCTTGCAGGGATTTTACTTTTGGTGCCGTACCTTTTAATTTTTGTTTAACTAACTTCCTCATTTTGTGTAGCCACCCTTTCTGAAATTAAATGCTACAGAGTTGGGCTGCTGTGGTGTTTACCCCACCACAGGGATGTTAAAATTTAATTATATTATGGTCACTATTACCAAGCGGTCCAGCTATCATCACTTCTTGGACCAGATCCTGTGCTCCACTTAGGACTAAATCAAGAATTGCCTCTCCTCTTGTGGGTTCCAGGACTGCTCCAAGAAGCAGTCATTTAAGGTGTCAAGAAACTTCATCTCTGCATCCTGTCCTGAGGTGACTTGTACCCAGTCAATATGGGGGCAGTTGAAATCCCCCATTATTACTGAGTTTTTTATTTTTATAGCCTCTGTAATCTCCCTGAGCATTTCACGGTCACTATCACCATCCTGGTCAAGTGGTTGGTAATATATCCCTACTGCTATATTATTATTAGAGCATGGAATTACTATCCATAGAGATTCTATGGTACAGTTTGGTTCATTTAAGATTTTTAAACTTTGCATTTTCTCATCATATTCTATCCGTATTTTATCATCTTCCATCCTCTCCTCCTTACTAGGACATAGAGAATCTCCATTAATAGATCCTCCCCTAAGAGATGTCTCTGTCTGAACCACGTGCTCCTCCGCACCTGTCGGCTTTCCCCGTAGCCCTCAGTTTAAAAACGGTGCTACGATCTTTTTAATTTTAAGTGCCAGCAATCTGGTTCCATTCTGGTTTAGATGGAGCCCATCCTTCCTGTATAGGCTCCCCCTTTCCCAAACGTTTCCCCAGTTCCTAATAAATCTAAACCCCTCCTCCCTACACCATCATCTCATCAACACATTGAGACCCTGCAGTTCTGCCTAACTGGCCCTGCGCATGGAATCTCACTGGCCCTGCACGTGGAATATTCTCAAACTTTATCATGGTTTAATAACTGGCTGTCAAATTTAAAATTTTTACATTAATGCTCTTGTTGCATAAATGTGAAAAGTGTCTGAAAACAGTATAATTTCTAGATGTTTTTAAAGATTCAAATGCATAAATAAGGACTAAACAGATTTTTTTAAAACTGGAAGTGAAACAGTTTCTCTCTGTGGAGGCATTTGAATATTGTTTTTCACCATCTGGTTGACTTATAAGCCAATTAAAATACGGGATCAATCATAAGAAAGCTAACAGCCCCTAAATGCCTTATCAAACTATAGCAGAATGAATACAGAAACCTTGCATTGAAATGATTAGCAGGCAAAGATAGCAAATGTGACTTATTACCTTTGTGGTCTTCTTAGGCCAGGCTACCACAGGGACCCCCGAAATGGCAAGATTCTGGTCGTCATCAGCATGTTCCTTCAGAATGTTCTGTTTCAAATGAAAGCAGCTTAATTAGTCAGAGAGCTATTTTTGAAACTTAAGAGATGAATAGTAGGAAGAGTGTTACTTCTGTCTATCTAGGTTAACTTTGTGGTTGTAAAGGACTTGATAATGTCCAAACCTCCAAACATTCAATCCACTGTAAACCTCTCTATCCAGCTGCTAAAATTTATGGTTCATTTAAAGTGAAATCTTCTGCAAAGAGTGCAAAGGAATTACAATTCTCATCATGTACTATTAATGGAAAATTAGGTTCCATTTAATAAAAAACACAACATACCACGCATGTGTGCTTGTTAGACAATGTTCAAAGGCACATGAAGAACATTGTCCAAAAGCAATGAAGCCTTATGAAGACAATGGAAAGACCCAAGTCTACCAATACTACCTCCTGCAGTCATAAGACATCTTTTTGTTTTCTGTTTATTCAACACCTACCACAATGGGGTCCTGATCCATGACAAGGGCTCCTAAGCTCTATGGAAATACAAATAATTAATAATCACCATCATCAGTTGCGTGGGACACAGCTATCATCAGGGTATCTGAGTATTTCAGATACCAGGCGCTTAAGTCAAGATGGAGCATTGCAAATTGTAATCTGTCAGCTCCATCAGCATTCAGCTGAAGAGCACTGTCATCTCCACTGGTAACTCTTACCTTTCCTGTGGAAATCTGCTCAATTTTTTGTGAATCAGGTAAAGCCCTCAGGTTTCTGAACACTTACTAACAAAGCTTCAGACAATGCTTAATACCCTGGCCTCAAATTGGTTTTTTTCTGAATGCTTTTGTTCTAATGCTCTGTACTGGATGTCTTGCAAGTGGGTTTCACTGGTTCATACTGCTTCTGCCATGGGGAATAGTTTTCATTACCATGTAACTCAACATCGAGACATGGGATTATTCTAATTATAAACTGTCTTTATATATAATACATTGTGCTAGTGGGAATATCCATAATCAGCTCCCTGTGCTTATCCCTATATTTACAAACTGAGCGGCAGAGTCCTCCACTTTGGATTCAAGTATCTATAAACAACCACTGAAAGAGTCAAAAGTCTAACAAAGATTCCACTGATCTGCTGAAAACTGAAGCTCAAATGAGTCTTCATAAAATAAAATAAAAAAAAATCATTCCAATAAAGTAAACAAGATCTGTGCGTTGAAAATTACCTATTTGAATTGACAAGATAACCACAGACATGTCAATGGCGTTGCTCCCAATTACACTAACTTCTTGAAAAAGCTTAATTAGATAACAATAGACACAAGGCATCCCCAGTCCCCAGAGTGGAGTTTTAATCATTAGAAATTTCACACACTATATAAAAGGATCTTAAAATACACTAATTGTTTTTAATAGGAAATGCACTTGGAATAACACAAAGAAATTACACATGCTGTCCTTTTGTAAAGAGCAAACTGAAATGGGTGATGTGATGCTATGTAGCCAAGGACCAGATCGCGGCCCAACTAACAGCCTGAGCACAGCAGGCAGTGCCACATACCCAGATAATGCAGTAAGACATCCTACCAGGAGAAGGCAGGATGCCATATGTAGAACTGGTTTAAAGCACCATGAGGGAATGTTTGCTGCCTTCGCAGAGCAAAAGATTCACGGGCTAATGATTGTTGTGCATACGGATAGGAGCATATAGACATCTGAACTGTGACGCAGTCGTGTCCCTTACTGCACTTTAAATGGCATTAGGCAGGCAGATCTCCTAGTCTTTTGTGCCCCATGGCAAATTTACAGTCTGGATCCTCCATCCCTTTTTGATAATTGCACAAAAATATGTGACTGCCTCAAAACTTTCTCCTCCCTGCAGAAACATGCAGGCACAGGCAGGATCCAGCCCTATGTCTGGATATTTATGTCTCTTTGCTGTTTGAAGAGTCACGTGACTATAGCTAACATCATACATGCCACAAAAACAGCTCTCTCTGGAAGAACCACTATTGAGATTGTAAAGCAAGTGCTGCATGTCTGGACAATCTGTTTGTCAGAGCTGGGATGCTTAAAAGGACATTTATTCACAAGTGTTATCTGATAAAAATTGTAAACTGTTAATCTCATTATTGTTTGTACCACCCTCTTAGAAGCTTAAAGGCAAAATTACTTTCACCACCAGCTATGTGCATTTTGGCAACAGCTCCTTGTATGTCGAGGATGCAGTTCAAACTTTCTGTAACAGTTTTTAAAGCCTCAAAGAGTCTGCGACTTGAGAGGTTTCCACCACATAACCTAGCGCTGCAGTTAAGATCCTTATTATAGGGCAACACCTAGCTGGGAAATTGATATAAAAGAAATTAATCCTGATTTGCATCCATGTGACAGGGCAACCAGATCCATTGTGTCTTACCATGAACACAGTCACCACCATTTAAAAAAGCAGTATTTCTTAGCAATAGAGTAATGGATTTTTAAGGGAGACTGGGACTTGTTGGATAAAAAGATTGTGATTGGGAGCCAGGGGAACTGGGAATCAAGCAGGGGTAGTAGGGAGATTAGATGAGGAGCCAGTGAGAATGGAAAATGGGAGACTGGCTGCACAAGAAGACGAACTGGAAACCAGATGGGAGGCATGGGGGACAGAGGGATGACTGACACAGATCCGATGAGGAGTCAGGAGGGGGAACTAGGACTAGCTGGGCAAAAGAAACGTGCAAGGAGCTGGGGAGACTGAGATTGGATGAGGGAGAGAGTCCAGCTCTCAGATGGGGAGTCCACTGAGGAAGAGTAGGACTGGTTGGGCAAGGAGACTGGGATAAGAAGCCTGAGGAGTTCAGAATGTGACTGCCTAGGTGAGGAGACTGGGAAAAGTAGCCAGAGTGGTGAAGATACAGGACTGGGACAAAGACAAGTTGGAGAACACAGTGGAAGAAGGAGGTCAGGTTTGGGGGGAACAGGGGCAGAAGGAGGGCCTGTGGCCACTAGAGACTATTTCCCTCTAGAGTCTAGAATGGAACCCAAGATTTCCAAGTCTCACCATTTCCTCTGCTGTCAGCAAATGTGTGTGAAACCACTGGCACAGTGTGTCTCATTCCCTTCTAGTGCCAGCCCACACACAGGATGACAGCCTCCACTATTACAACCTACTATTGCTATCAGTTACTCTGTTAAGCTCAGAGGTCTCCGTGGAGAATCTAAAGAGTCCAACCCTGCTGATAAACAATGTGGGTGTCACTCTGATGCCATGTGATGGTGTGATAGGGCCCTCAGTGGCTAGGCAGCTTAGTGGCTAGATCGTTGGTTAGGGGGGCTGAAGGGAGACCTGACCCCTCCTTCTCCCTCAGGACCTGGCCCAGTGTCCTGTATTGCTCAACCCCTAAACAGGGGAGATGGATCTTCCTCCCCATCCAGGCCTGACATTGGCTGCAGGTATAACGGGGCGGAGCTAGCTGAACCCACAGGTGTTCTTTAATACCTGCTGTGCCCGGCTGCAGTCTCTCTGCCCCTTCACAGATGGATTTTTTTTTTCAATTTTCTGTTTTAAAAACCACAGGAAATTACACACACAAACTATGCTAAAGGATCATTGAAGTTGCAAAGTTGAGCACTCAAAAGTTCAGAAATGCCAGAACTAAGATTGCCTGTACAACCTAAATTTTGTCCCTTTATACATGTGTTACAATAGTCTTTAATTACATGATCACATACTAATTTTTCCACAGGACCCTGTTTCATTCAGTGTACAAGATGGAAGGTTCTGAATTAATGAGCAGTTATTCAATATTATTTTCTTTTCTCCTCTCTGTTCCATGTGTGGCCCTAGGTCTTATTAACTGCACACTAGTCAAATCCTGCTCTGAAGACAGAATTATTAATTTCCACATTGGCTTTTTTATGATGCTCATCACTATAATACCAAGTGATTCACAAACATTAATTGATTTGTTTTCACACTACTCCTGTGAGATGAGTGTGTAATATTATCCCCATTATACATATTGGGGAACTGAGGCAGAGAGAGATTAAGATAATAAATGTCCACTAATTTTAGATGCTTAATTTGACATGCACAGGACCTGATTTTTCAGAGTATTTTGCATTATACAGCACTTTGTGTTCAAAGCACAGCTCTGATCAAACTCAGCAGTTTAACACTTCTGCAAATCTGACCCTAGGGTCTCAAGGCAGGCATCCATAAAATGAGGAACACACATTTAGTGAGCTCCTGTAAAAAGTCTGAGTTAAGTGACTTACCCAGCATCACAAAGGAACTCTGTGGCAGAGGCAGGGATAGAATCCAATTCTCAAGCATGGCTTTTAATTGCCTTTAGCCAGGAGACCCCTCTTTCTCTTTCTGCAATCCTCTGTCTCATTTGTTACACACCTTCCAATTTCTGAAACAAATGAGGCAGGGGTCCTACAGAGAGCAGTTTACTACACAATCCTGATTTATCCCCAGTGCACCAACCATCCTGTACCCTGAATGAGGCTGGCATTCTGTGGAAAAAATACCATGCACTCATATAATTGAAGACTGTACCATAATCCATATGCACAAAGAGGGCAAAACTGAGGTTTCATAGGCAACCTTAATTCTGGCATTTCCTAACTTCTGGGTGGTTTCCACTCTTGGGCAAGGATGGTGTCCCTAGCCTGCTGGCCAGAAACTGGGAATGGGTGACAGAGGATGGATCACTTGATGATTACCTGTTCTGTTCATTCCCTCTGAAGCACCTGGCATTGGCCACTGTCAAAAGACAGTATACGGAGCTAGATGGACCTTTGGTATGACCCAGTATGGCTGTCCTTATGTTTCTTTAATGTCATTTTGTGTGTGTAATTTACATGCTACAAAAAACAACTTTTCTACACTCAGTTTTGAGACAAGCATATAAAGAAACAACTTCTCTGAAGGGTTATCCAAAGATTCTGCTGCATCTGTAAAGTCTCAGATGAGTCTCTTCTAAGTGTAATAATAAAAAAAAGTATATTATATATGTAGTCCATTCAAAGGATTTTTCTATATAACATTTTAGTCTTTTTTATGCTTCAGGGAGACAATATTCTCTGGAAAACAGGATATGGGTAATTAAACAGGTGAGAAACTACTTTATTCAGTGATGTGGAGTTTCACAGAACCAGTTGGGGTAAATCATATACAATTCATACCCTCCTGTCTTAAGCAGGGATACATTTAGATCACAGGAGATTGGATTACTGTTCTGTATTGCAAATACAACTTAATTAGCTACATAAAGCCTATTTGTTAATCGAGTAGGAAGTGAAGGAATTCATTTTCCTGATAAGAAAGGACACTGAAAACTAAACTTGTGTAAGTTCCTTACACATCATATGAGCTCCTAAGTCATCTGACACTATTAAACGGGGACACTACAATCAGGAAAGGCGCCAAACTAACAGCCCTGGAGATTGAAATCCCATTTATTGGGAAGACAGATGGACAGTGCCAGAGTAAGCCTCCCCACACTGCCTTTCCAGTGTGGCTCTATCCAGAAAAGAGGAGAGCTCAGCTCTACACTCAATTCAATCCTTAACTTATCTGACAGCAAGGGGGTCAATTAGTGTTGGTGGTGGTTGTGTTTTTGTGACATGGATGCCTGTCCACTGAGAGCTGGGCTCAGACCACTAAGTGCATTTCCTAGAGGCCTCTCAACACCTATTAGGTGGTAACAACTTTCAGTCACTACCAAACAAGATTAGATCTGAACAAGTGACCCAGAATCAGAGATGAAAGACTACATCCAACAGGTCAGAGAAAGTAGTGGAGTGTGTTGCATGCGCCCTATACTAGGACATACACATAAGTATTAAAAATTATATGCACACATTATGCTCCTGCACGAAATCTGTCAATTAAAAATACATCCCTAAACATTGGCTGATCTGTCATATATAGAGAAAGCATCCCCTTGTTAGCAGTTGATCAAAAGAGAAGAAAGAAAACCTAAAAATAATGGTTCCCAAATTGTGGTCCATGGATTGCTGACTGGTCACATGGTGATGATTCTGCTGCCTATTTTCTTAACATTACTTTCCCGTGTAAGCCGTTGCTGTAGTTGCCCCAGGGCTATTATTCTATTGCCAGTGGGATGGAAATTAGTCTATGCAATTGTGACTGGGAGGGGAGATAATCCATGAAACCATCATGGTCCATGCACTGAGGAAGTCTGAGAACCTATGCTTTAAAAAATAAAAACCCAACCCCACCTCAGAAAAGACCATAAAACTGGGATCTCTCAGTGCAGATAGGGAACCAGAGTAGAATTTGTACTGAAGCCAGATAGTAACAACCTCCTTGGCAGCACCAGAAGCTGAAATCATTCAAAGACTTTCCAAGCCAGGTACAGCAATGATGCCTGCTGAAACAGGAGTATTCTTGCTTTCTCTTGGCAACAAACTCAAACTGGCATATTCAGAGAACTCATCCTCTCACTCTATGGACAGAAAGAAACAAACTCCACATAATGCACTTTGAGGAAGAGTTCTCTATGCTGTGTGTGTGTGAAGTTAATAGTTAAATGAACTCTTATATCTCCCCTTCTGTCCTTGATTTCTGCCGCTGTCACTGCAGTTCTCACAATGTAATGAACCAGGCAGACATATGGGGCTGGCACCTTACTGTCTGTCTGACTGGAGCCCCTCAAGTTTTTGAATCTTCTTCTTCTGGAAGGTGACCAAAAGGGTGTTCCCTTCAGCCTGGCAACCAGACATCTGAAACGACAGTCTTGATGGTGTTGCCAAGGCATTCACTGTATTTGGCGGTCTATTTGGTTTTCAGTGGTGATAAACTGCCATGGTTTTTAGTTTCTTCTTAGATAATATTTTCATGCTACATGAGATAACCAGGACCTCTCAGTAGCCTACCAAATTCCCAGCCTGGAATGTACTCTGTTTTTATCGAAATCTGAGCCTATGACAGAAAATCTTTCATTCTAAACTTTAACATTTCCACTGAAAACTCTCATAGCCTTTCAAATTCAAGAAGTTATAAGTACAGAGAGCTTAATTTGCCCCTTAGCTACACCTCTCCCCAACTGCCTTCTTGTTCTCCAGCACCTTACCTTTGGTTTAAAAATCAATTATCTATATATCTCATGGTTGCAAATATAACTTACAGAATGTGACCTAAATTTAATCAACGTAGTGATGCCTGCCTGAATTTGCAATGAACATAAAATAATCACTCCAAGAGATGTTAACTGACCCAGTTCATCTCAGTGAAGTGTTAACTCCCCAGTGATGCTAATTTAAATGTCAACATTGTTGTCTATTACACTACAGATCAAAGCACAAAGGAAGGACAGAGATGATATTTTGAAAATCTGCACAATCTACTGAGAGTGACATTTCATTTTGGTGCCCCAAGAGGCTGAAACTTGGGATATATTGCCACTTATTTTTCTCCCCAATCAAGAAGGAGCCAAACCTAAGTACCTTAGCAGAGCATTTGAGCTCTAGCAAGGGGAAACCAAGCCAAAGGACCCCAGCACAGTCCATAGATATATACAAACCCCACTGAGGGACAGCTGACAACACACAACCATATTTTGAACATCTGCACAGTTTACCATAAGTAGCATCTCAGTTTGGCATTTAAAAGGATGCAGATTATTTTGTAAGTGGAGCCTGGTTTGTGGGTAGAGCTTGGATGAGTATCACAACCTTTCTTCTCTGCCCAATTCAAACCCTGGTCTTGGGGCTTAATTCTGATTTCTGATTTCAGATTATATAGTGGCAGATCACAAAGCAGCTTGTGAAATCAATTACCATGATTGTGTGCAAATATACAAACATATACACAGTAACCAATTGGAGAGATAGCTCAGTGGTTTGAGCACTGGCCTGATGAACGCAGGGTTGTGAGTTCAATTCTTGAGGGGATGATTTGGGGATTTAGTTGGGAATTGGTCCTGCTTTGAGCAGGTGGCTGGACTAGATGACCTCTTGAGGTCCCTTCCAATCCTGATATTCTATGATACACCAGTAATCAGAATTGCACTCTTGGTGGCTTACCAAAATAAATACCATGTATTGTGATTCCAGGCTCCAAGTTTGTGGAAGATAGCTGGGCTTCACACTATATGCTTATAGCCTTTTTATTTAAATTGCATTTGGGCTGCTTCTAAGGAGCTGTGACATAGTTTATGTTGAAAAAGTACAGACCCTATACTTCTAAAACATAAATACACACTTTTCTTCACAAGACATGATAAGCAGGACACGTCTTCTCTACTCTGTGGTGCAATGAATAATAAATAAAACCACATTGTCCAGAGAGGCAGCAATGACTAGTGGTCAAAACACAGGAGTGGGGGTTACTACTCATCATTCCAAATCAGAGCAAATGATTATGGATGGATTATACACTTTAAAAAAAATACGGAATTTAGAAAGGAAGGGCTAATAGAAATTTTAACCTTGCTTTTTCTAGCTGAAACTGCTCAAACATGAATTATTAAATAAATAAAAATAATACACTAATGGATTGATCCTCACATCACCTTTGTGAGTAAATATGAATATCCCCATTTTAGAGAAGGGGAAACAAAAAGAAACAGAGGTAAAATAACTTACCTAAGGTGACAGAGTTGAGACTAGAACCAACTAGACCATGTTGAAAATTAGGTTTTTTGCCTATTCTTGAGATTTCCCCTTTGCCCCTAAACCAGATGAGGTCACCACTCCTGCACAATCCCAGATGCTATGTCAATTACCTACAGACTAGTTCTGTTTTAGCAGCCGCTCACTTATCCCACCATCTCCAAGGAAAGTACATTGTACCAGTAGGCAATAACCATCATGCTGCAGAGGGCAATGGGGGAAACAAAAAAAGAGAAGGGGGGAACTAAGGAAAGAAAATGCCATTCAGAAAGTTGGATGGGTCTGGTTTTTGCACCAGGATCAAGTATTTAAATCTTGTAGATTTCATTTGTGTCAGCTAATCAGACATATCTGAAAGCACAGTGGATTAAAAAGGCATATTAAAATACATGGATACACATAAAATAGGACTCTCTCTATGTATGTCTTTATGTACATGAGCTATACCATGCACTGTTATTGCAAGGGTACACAAACTTTGTGACACTGAGGGCAGTTCCAACCAGAACGGACCTGATTAAACAGATCAGATTGTAGATGTCCATATCCGTAATATGGAGAAGGAGTCTATGCAGACAAGAAGGCCAACCATGCAATATTCTCCTTCCAGATCTGAGTGGCATTCAGATCAGGAGGGGAGCGATGAGTGCTAGGACTTGTCTCCGTAGGCTTCCCTCACATTAAGGACAAGTGTTTGCATAACTCTAGAGGCCTCACTTTGCGTACTTTTATTGTGTGCACGGCCTATGGAATATACATTTTATATCTTTAAAAGCAGTTATACCCACCTTCATATCCTCCAGAAGTGCCTGAGGATCCTCAATGCCTTCTGGAACACACTTCTTGTTCTCTGGGAGAGATTCAAGCTTTTCTACTAGGGCTTTCAAACCTTTCAGTTCAAACTCTGTGAGATGAGTCCATTTGGTTGAGACTTCGGTAGCTGGCGACCCTGTTGGTGTTTTGGGATAGTCCGTGGGGGTTGTTGACTTTACACTGTCATCTGACTCATTGGACAAAGTTCTTTTGAGGTACCTCATCACTGTGGCTTTCTGTTTTTTCCCTGCAACATCCTTCCCTTCAGAGTGTGTGCTGTTGGGCGAGGAGGAACCATCAGCCAAGGACTTTGTGTTCTTATCCAAATTGTCTTCCTTCTCCTCCCGGGTATGAGCATCACAAGATTCTTCATCCATGTCTAACCAGGAATCTGATGAGAAGCTGTCTACGCTGGGTTTTCTTGTGGCATCTGAAAGACACACAAAGAAAATTAAATCTTTATCCTGCTGAATTTACAGCTTAAACGGTCCTCCTGTCAGGACTAGTGATCACCTGATTAAACTGGCACATGGTAGTGCCTGGTAACTCTTACACACATCTAGGAAGTGAGTTTTGTTCAGATAATTTAAAACTGATTTTGCTGTGTTTCATTAACATCTATTTCACGCAAATGACTGAACAACTTAGGAACAATATGGCTTTTTCAAAAAGTTTCCATCTCCAAACTCCCACAGTTAAGGGTAGAAGAAAAAAAAAATCACAATTCATATATTTGAGATGTATCATTAATTTTCCAGAAAAACCAGATGAGATCAGATTTGACATTCTTCATATTTCTAAGCTAGAAACACAAGCAGGAAAAAAAAAACACCTTAAAAACCTTATTGCCATTCTTTCAGGCCTTTTTTATAGATTACAAAGAAGCAAAAACTTTTTTTTTTTCCTTTGCAGGTCATCGGCAATAGAATGTATAAATACTTGGTTTTATATGGTATCTGTCATCCAATAACCTTAAAGCACTGCAAGAACACTCATTACTTCTTTAAGACAGAACAATACTATTATGCCCATTTTAAAGATGGGAATCTGAAGCACAGAGAAGTGAAGTGACTGACCCAGGGTCACACAACTGTATAACCATTACTACACCTCTACCTCGATATAACGCTGTCCTCGGGAGCCAAAAAAAAAATCTTACCGCGTTATAGGTGAAACCACGTTATACTGAACTTGCTTTGATCCACCAGAGTGCACAGCCCTGCCCTCCCAGAGCGCTGCTTTACCGTGTTATATCCGAATTTGTGTTCTATCGGGTCGCGTTATATCGAGGTAGCGATGTATTATGAATACAGCCCCAAATGCATGCTGGTTGCTTTATAGATAAATAGAAGGACAGGAGGCTGAATGCTCAAAGAGAGTTAGCCTCCTAACTTCTATTTAGGCTCCCATGAAATCAATGGAAGTTAGGAGCCTAACTCTTTTTGAGCATTCAGCCCAAAGTCCCTGGCTCCGAGGAATTTACATTCTTAGGTCTAGTCTACAGTAGGCTTTTCCTCTAAAAATGCCCACTGTTGCTGACCCCAGAACAGCTCCAATGATGACAGCATTACAAGAAGGGTACTGGTCAAGGCTCCAAAAGCCTTTTAACTGCAGTTTTGTTTATACTTGCTTTTCTACAAAACAATATGGTTATCGTGTCTACACTAGCACTTTCCCCATTACTACCACTAGCAGAGATGAACTGGTGTTAATTGGTAGGAATTTCTGGTTAAAAATGCTAGTGTAGGCAGCACCCAACAAAGTCAATAAGACTTTTGACACTGACTTTAATGGGAGTAGGATCCGGCCCATGACAGACATTATATGCAAAAAAAGAGAAGAGATACAGCAATAAACATGTGACTGAGCAATGAAGTGTCTCATTTCCTTGTTTTCATTTACTTATTTTCAACCGTCTAAATTCTGAGTCTTTCCACAGTTTCTCTTCACCCAAACCTTTTATTTGAGGAAGGACTAAATAAACACTAAGGCTATGTCTACATTAGCACTTTACTTGGTATAACTTATGTCACTCAGGGGTATGAAAAAAAATCCTCTGAGTGACATAAGTTACACCAATAGAAGCACCGGTGTGGACAGCGCCATGTCAGCAGGAGACGCCCTCCCACCAGCATAGTTACCATCACTCATTGGAGATTATTTAATTATGTTGATGGGAGAGCTCTCTCCTGTCAGCATAGAGGTTACACAGCTGTGTCAGTACAGTTGTGCTGCATTAAGATGCTAGTGTAGACATTGCCTAAGTAAGGACTTCAGGATTTGGCTGCATTATAATAATAAGCAAACGTCTCACAAATAATGAAGCAAAGAATCACAGAGATTGGAAGTGAACCTCTATGACAGAGAAGGTTCTGACTGTGAGTGAAAGAATGTGCCATCATCTCCTCAGAAAACAAACTGCACTTACTAGCTGGAAAACAGAAAGATGCAGCAAGCAGACAGTTGTTGCTTAACTGCTAAATTCAGACATGCTGGGAAAAAATCCTCATAAAGTTTTGTCTACGCTGTGAAAACAAGTTCAGTTAGGTAACACCTGACAGAAATGAAGGGGGAAGTTACATTTATCAAGGCTAGTGGGTGATTATTTCAAACTTAGACATCACAGAATGTTTTCCTCACAATCTTATTAGATTGAGAATTATTTTGGGGGAAGAAGGTTTAAACTGATTTTCTGAAGAACAAGACAGAAGCTTAAAAAAAAAAAAAAAGTATTGGGCCACTGACCCAGTCAGGCCCTGGTTACAGTGAAGGTAAATATCCTCCTTCTTTCTATCCCCTTCTCTCCATCCCATCCAATACACACCGCTCCTGTAAAGTCTTAACATAATCAAATTCAATATTTAGTGCATTGAATTGTTTATTCGGTGTGATATAGTGATGAACAACAACACTCAGAAGCAGCCACTTTCTGTCACCCAGAAAACCAGTAGCAGAGCCAGGAATTTGACCCAGTTCTCCTGAGTTCCAGTCTGGTGCCCTAGCCCAGAGGCCACACTGCCTTTCTGTTAATTAAAATATTCATAAACACATTTTCTGATCATTTAAATTTCAGTAATGTTCGCTACTTCACAGCAGATTAAAGTATGGAAGTCCTGTCTACACTGGGGGATTTTGGTGATTGGTGGCCAGTGTAGCTGCAGCAGAACCCCTGGTGTGGGCATGGAAAGCAGTTATAATTGCAATTTGCACCAGTGCAACTTCGTCTACTTGAACCTGTGGTCATGCGGAACAGTGAAAGTCGTAGCTTGCACTGACTTTGCTGCCTACACTATGTTTTTGTATAGGCGCAGTTATGCTAGATGCTTGCCACTGACAGCTGTAACTGGGGTAGGTCACCTAAGAAAGGAGAAGGAAATCATATTGTGACCATCTACAGCAAATGATGTTTTGGTGACATTAGTGGGTGGCACGTGAGATACTCCACCACCTTTTATCTCTGATCTAATCAATGGAACGAAAAGGCCAGAAGGAAGGAGCAGAGCCCAGTGGGGAATCCTAACTCCACTGATAAACCCAGATAGGGTGACCAGACAGTAAGTGTGAAAAATCGGGACGGGGGTGGGGGGTAATAGGAGCCTATATAAGAAACAGACCCAAAAATCGGGACTGTCCCTATAAAATCGGGACATCTGGTCACCCTAAACCCAGACCCCACCCAACAAAGCAGTGGAGCCCTGGTCCAACCTGGGAATGACAGTAGGGCCAGGCACCTTCCTCCCCGATTACATTGGCTGCTGTTCCTCCCTCTGCTGGAGGTGATCTGCACTCAACCAATGTTGTTGTGTTGGTTACACTTGGTTCATGCCTTCCAGTCCTACACTTCTTTGATTCTATGGTTGCAAGATTTTCTCTGCTACCACAAGGGCTAAAAGTAATTTTTTTCCCACTAAAAGCGGAGATTCTCTCAGCTCTGGGAGCAGGGACACTAGGCATGTGTCCTAATGTGCTTATGCCTCAGTGGGCAGTGTTACTCAGCATCTCTCCACATCCCCACCTGGTGCAAATCTCAATGGACCTGAAGGGTTGCAGAGCAGCTCTCTGTGTTGCCTTGTCCCACTCCTCCAGTCTGTTTTACAGCTGGTGCAGGGGGAATTTCCTCAGCAGTTCTACTGCTCTTGGGGCTGTCTGTCTTCTCTTTGGGCTCTTTTTGCCCCATGACCTCCCCATTAGGGTTTTTTCCCCCCCCATAAACAGGGAATCTTGAAAAGGGATGATTTACAAAGATGAAGAGCAGGGCTCAGCATCCACTCATGCTGAGGCCGCTCGTGCTGCCTGACACAGAGAAAATGTTGGAGGGAGAAAGAGGCAGGACACTGCAACCAGAGACTGGCCATTACGGGTTCAGTAAGAGTTGAGGGTTGGACTTTTATGCCAACACATCCCATTAGTTATGGTGTGCTGGGGTCGTCCCGGGGCTTGTCCACCGTAGGCATTTTTACACAGTGCAAGCCCTCAGTGTAGATATACTCAATTGGTGTAGAGCAAGCCCCAAGCTGTCCAGGTACAGCACATGTACAATGGGGTTTGCACTGGTGCAGCTGGGAGAATTAAGATTAAGTGTTAAAGGGTTAACACCCAACTGGGAGTTTTCTGTTTCCCTTGCTGAGTATGTTATTTGTTCCTTTTTCTTGTTTATAAAATCTCCCTAAAGGAAAAGATCCTGCTGACTGCAATTGTGGTTTCCTCTGCTTAGTCATTCCACCAGCCAACACTGCATTATAACTATTTTTAAAAGCTATTTTGTAGCCCAGGCTCCCACCTGGCATAGATAAAGAGTTTGAAGAAGAGATCTAACAGGGTTTGGTCCATCCCCATTGCCACTTTAAAGCCATGTTACCAGGAACATTGTTTAAATGGCCTCCACGCAAATGCATATGGGGCCTAATTGAGTCTTTTAAAGTGTTTAAATGCTTTCTACTGTGCTTACTTTTTAGCGCAATCTATTAAATAAAGAAGTGGTGTCTCCCAGCATCATGAACATGTGTAATCCTCTGTGAATTGAGGTCACTGCTTCATATGGCTCATCAGGGTTTGTGCCAATCACGAACACTGCAGTATACAAACTTTACTTTCTTATCATCACATATTATTCTGAGAGTCTTTGGCTACCCCCAGGCCTAGGATCACCTACTGTGGGTCTCCTCCTTAATACAATTCAAATCCTTTCAAAAAAGGACAGGGGGAAAAAATTCTCACAAATATAACAATTCTGGATATGGAAAACAGAGAGACTCCGCGGTGTTGTAATCCAGAAAAAGAAAGGGTGGTCCGTCTTAGCACAGGACAAGGAGATAGGAACTCCCAATTTCTAAAGCAATAACTCTCTGTGTGGCCTTAGGCAAATCACAATCACTCTCCCTCAGTTTGGCCTTGTGCAAAACAGGGGTGATTATACATAGTTACCTTCTT